GGGGGGGGGGGGGCAGTGAGTGGGAGGTAAATTGGGAGTCGGGGGACAATTAGATGGGAATTTCCAGTGTTAGTGAGCGAGGGAGCTTTTGTTATAACAGTAAGAGTGAGAGCTGTTTGATGCGACATTCAATTGGTTTAGAAATATATTTTGTTAACATATGATATACTGAATAATTTCATGATCGTTAAAACTGAAATAAAGAAGGAAAACAGGCAGAAAGTGACCAAAAAAGCAACTTTCAGAGAACATTTCACATCAATGTTACATGTTAGTCTCAATAATGAGAATAATAATTTAATAAAATGTTTACACAATAATCACGACAGAAATCTTCCAATTGCAGATTTACTGTAGTAAAACTTCTGCAACCCAGTCCTGAGTCTGGGTCTCATGTTAAACAGAAAAGAGACCCTACATCTAACTCTCGTCATTTGAGAGCTGTAAGAAATATATCATTGTATCATCATTTCTTTAAGAAACCAGATGAGGAACACGAGTTTAGGGACCGAGGAAAGACTGGGTCCCGTTTGAAGTGAAGACGAATCTCACATCAGACCAGAGCATAAAGGCTTTTCTTCTTGCAGTGTCGGGAGCAAAGGGGGATTTCCTTCCTCCTATTTTTAATCCTCGTCCATGCACAGTGCTTTCATTCGATTATACATGTCCAGCAAAAGTCTTGGCAGTCGAAGGAAGGGACCAAACATCTCCCATGTTTTTGCAAAGCTGCCTGATATTTGACATATTAGAGTTTGTTTCTTGCACTATTGTATGTCTTTTTCTTAAGGGACAACATTTAGCTACCGGATATATGAGAATAAAACTATATTTGAGGATTTATAACAAAAGGTGAAATGGCTGAGAAACATAATTGGTGGAACCATTAACGGGTTTGCATGCTGAGAAATACATCCATCTTGGATCATTTTGCAAGACTCCAAGAAGCCCTCGTCTGGGCTTCCCCTTTCCTGTAGTGTGTGCAGGTTGCATGTCAATGGTCTGCAAAGGCTAACATCCCTAAGTTCCCTGTATACTTCTGTAACATAATGACATCACTATCTAACACGTGTGCTTCTATTGGCAAGCGCTAGCTAGCATTAAATCATGGAGACATGTCACAGAAGAGACATATATGAACTTGTAAACATATTTTTAGTGTTGTTCCTTTTTGCTTTCTCCTCTGTGTTTTTAATAACACACGTGTATGTATCAACGTGTCGTATATATGACAATGAAAATATCTGACATTTCATTTAGAAACTTGATCTAAAGTCTCTGTAAAGATAGAGAAAGTAAAAGAAAGAGAGACAAAGTGAGGGTGAGGGACAGAGACAATAAGAAGAGAGTCACTTTAAGTGAACGAAACAAGGGCAGACCAGTCCTGCCCCCTAGAGGCAGTGTGTGTGTGTGTGTGTGTGTGTGTGTGTGTGTGTGTGTGTGTGTGTGTGTGTGTGTGTGTGTGTGTGTGTGTGTGTGTGTGTGTGTGTGTGTGTGTGTGTGTGTGTGTGTGTTTTCCTGGGGAAGAGAGGGACATCCTGTGACAGTGACTCAATGCTCCCCCCTCAACACGCACGCACGCGCACACACACGCACGCGTTGTTTACCTCTTTCAGGCTGCTAACAGACATTTCCCCTCACACACACAAACACACACACACACACACACACACACACACACACACACACACACATTTTAGCGAACACACACACACAGCAATATCATTGTAAGAAAACTTTATTTACATGCATAAAAAGTTGTGTGTGTGTGTCATGGCCTAAGGTGAAAGCTCCTGCTGCCTCTGGAGAAAAGTGTGTGTTTTTGTGTGTGTCGTGGGCGGGGCCAGGAGGAGGGGTAAGCAAGGGGGGCGTGGGCCTGTCGCGAAAGAGCCGGCCCTCTCTCCAGCTTAGTCAGAGGGATGTCGGCATTGTAAGGCATTTGAACACAGGACACCGAGTGGATCACACACACTCATAACACACACACACACACACACTTTGACACACACCGGTGGAGTATCAGCGCTCGGATCAGGACGGACATAAGGGGAGAACTGCACCTGTCCTACACACACACGCACACACGCGCGCAGAGGATCTGACCGGTCGTCCCTATGTGTGGATGGGACCAAAGTTACACGGTGAGTACGGAGCACACGGAGAGGAAGGGAACACTTTTTAAGGAGTTTGTTTTATATAAAAAAAAAAAAGATTTGACATTATTTTCTGTAGTTTCTTTGTCATTTTAAATGTAAAAACTGAGTTATTTTTTGGGATATTGAAAACTAAACACCAGTAAGTAAAATGCAAGACTTGTTTTGGCTTCTTCAATCCACAATTTGACGTGTTTGAAATTAGATTTCTCTCTTTTTGGTGCTTATTTTTCTGACTGGAAATTCAAAGAAGTTTTTATTTCTGACTTTCCATATTTACATGTAATTTAAAAGCTGCTATTGGTGATTTTTCTACACTTTTTAAAATGTATTTTGATTTTGTTTGGACTTCTGTTTGGACGTGTTTTCCTTTGGGTAATTTCAAGATGTTTCTTTAGCACCTACCTTTTAAATTATGGGCTTTGTTGCACACTTTAAGGAGTTCTTATTTGTTTTTTAATGAAGCAAGCAAGATTAAAAAGTTGTACATTGTCAGAAAAGTGTCTACTCATCACTGAGAATTTGACTTTCTTCAAGTTTACCCTTGGCCTTTCTGCTGAGAGGGTGTAAAGATGTAGCAATCATATTTCGTATTTTATTACGCAATGTCTTCCTCCTCTTGGATTTATATTAAATGTCTCTCTGGTTGAACAGCTCACACAGTTTCATCTTGACTTTATGAAATGAGCACATCATCATTTAAAGATTCCTCTGACTGTGCAGCTTCTGTGTTTTCGGTTGGTCTCAATGTGTGAGAGGTGACATTTGTCATGTTTTTTTGGTTTCACTATTAGTTCTCGTTGTTGCAGCTGTTAATGCAAAGAGGATTCTACTGAAATATTGAGAAACATTTTCCTTTCTGGCCAGTTTTTAAAAGAAAAATGCGTTATTTAAATGGAAAACAGAGCAGAAAGTGTTGTTATGGGTGAAATGATATTTTATTACTTTTAGACTTTAAAAAATACTTTTGTTGGATTTAAAAACATTTTCATGATTTGCTTTGATGACTTTTTGTGTTTAAGTAAATGCAGACTGTGTTTGAAGCAAAGAAGCTCAACTTTTTATTAAAGATGTTCATGTTTTGGAGGGTTTTTAATCCTGTAAAGAGTTTTTCTTGCAAGTTGGAACAGGAAAGTCTGTGCAAAAACTGCATTTCAGTAAATATGAAGACATGAGGAAGCTCCTGACTTATTAGTGTGTGTTCCCTTAAAGGATGTAAAATGTAAACATTTCATTTTCTGAATTACTTGAGGTGACTTCAGTTCCTCTCTTTGTGTCTTTTCTCGCTGCTGTTTGGAGCAGAAGTGGCTTTAGCTGTGACTTCACACTGAAAATACTGAAACGTTGACTTTAATTAAATGAATTACTTCAACACATATTAAGTTAGTTGGAAGCAATAATGTTAAGTTGAACCTAATATTTAGTATTTAACTGAATGTTATTGCTTTCAACTAACCTAACACCGGTCATTAAAGTCAACGGTTCAGTTTTTTCAGTTGGATGTCAAATAATTGTCTTTCTAGCGGCTTCAGAAACATTCACAGACTTGAGTGTGGTCACTGAAAAGATCTGATGCTTTTCCACTCGCCTGCGTGGGATGAGAAGCATGTTTTCCCTGAGTGGATATCTGTGTGTGTGTGTGTGTGTGTGTGTGTGTGTGTGTGTCTTGGGTGGGATCACGTTTGAAGTTTTGTTTGTGCTGCTGTGGCCCCCCAAATGGAAAAGATTTGGCGCTCCCTTTTCCTCATCGGCCCCCCTGTCCATTACCCACACACCCACACACCCCCCCACACACACACACACACACACACACACACACACACACACAGAATACATCTTGTGTCCTTAGCTC